GTGGAGTGCTCCTCCAATCAGTAAGACTTACCTTAAATGCAGCTCCCTGTAATAGCTCATCCCATATGAAACTGGGTTCTGAATTCCCCAATTTCTCTGCAGCCATGCATCAGGCAGGTCTTGTTCTCATTAGAAAGAAGTGCTGGTGGAAGCAGGCAGCTTTATTACAGCGGAGGAGGGACTTTTGAAGGCGCTGAAAACTCTTACGTCTCTGTCCTTTTCTCTTGCAGCAGGATGAGAGCACCAAATGCAAGCTAATAAGACATTAGCATGCAGCCTGCCAGCAGAGAGCTAGCCTTGGGGATTACAAGCAAATAGAGAGCTAGTCATTTTTGAATAGTGCTGCCTTGTTTCTCAGATGAAAGTCTTTTGAAAACTCTTCTCTTTCTGCTTTGCTTTGTCAGCCTCTTTTTGTGAGCGTGAAGTTTGTCAGGCTTTAACCCCAGCCATCACCATCCCAAAGTGGATTTGTGGACGGGCAAATGACTGCTCTCTACCCAGCATGAGCAAAGGGGTCTTTCTCTAACAAGTGGGGCCAAAACTGCTTATTGTCAGATTCCTCCTGCTCACCCTGCCAGAAGCACCAGAGGAAAGGCCATCTTGCAACCCACAGTACGCTCCTGTCAGCTGGAGGAGTTGTAAATCCTGCATTGAGTGTTTGACAAAGTTTTGTCCAAGTGAGCTGCAAGCACTTCCTTTCTGTTCAGCTCCATCCTGATGATGCATAATGCAGTGCAGACCAAAGGGAATAATTCAGCCTACCTCCTATAGATATTTTCAGAGCCTGCAGTAGGGAGATCACCCAACAGCGTGGCCTGAGCTGTGGAGGTTTTGCTATGCAGAGGCTGCTAAGCTCAGGCTGACAGCTTGCAGCTGGAGACTCTGATTTTGCTTACACAGAAGTGTGAATCAATAATATTTTCCCGTAAGTACATAAGAGGAAAACTGCTGTCCTTTCCAATGAGTGGTTGGTATTTGTCTCCTGTCCTCATAATGCTCTCTAGCAAAATCCTTCCTGAGGTGGCAATGAATCAACCGATGAAACTCAGATGAGAAAATGGGAGTGCTGGATGTTACAGAACACATATGGCTTGATAGCATATGGTAGAAACCTCTGAAGTGTTGCAACACTTGTTTCTTTAAGCATATGCTTGTTTGGGGTTGCACAGAAGCCTTTTTCTCCCTTTTTTTTCCTGATGCACACAACCAGAAGATGCCTTGAAGAAGGGGGAAGAAATAAGTCATAGTGAATGTGCAATGTGTAATCTGTCTCCCATCACAGAGTACTGGGGATCTGAACTCTGGCCAAATTCTGCAGACCTTCTCAGTTTTCACCTTAGTTTTGAAATAAATTCCCTCTGTACTACCAACAGAGTGACCTGACTTTGACTTTTGCCCGTATTGACCCCTGTAGCAGCTGATTCCCATTTTCTCAAGGTGTGGAAGAGGCACAGTTCACATAGTTTTGTCATTGAATTTAAGAAACTCAGTGAGATCTTTGAAGACCAAAACCATTGCAAACACTGGTCTCACTGCAGAATCCCATGCTGCAGGTCCTCAGCCAGAAAATCTCATTTTGATGTGCTGTTTGAGCTACATTTCTTGTAGGGATGCAGCTGGGCTTGATCTGAAACCTCACAGATTGCCTGCTTTCCTTGGAAGTTTCTCCTACCAGATCAACAACCAGCCTATTAAAATCTTGTGTGTTAACTCTCATTTCAATCTCACTGGCTTCGCTTTGCAGCCAGCCATCACTGTGCCTCTCTCTGCCAGATAAAAGCAGTGTGAACACCCAGCTTTTCCTCACTGGCACAGCCTTCACACAGCACAGTCGTATCACAGGCCACATTTTGAGAAGCTTTGAGTTTTTTCAGTCTCTCTTTGCAGTTTTGATGGCGATGACGACGCTCTGTGCTGCTGATGCAGGCTGGTGGCGGCGGTTAAGCTGTGAAGAACAGCTCTAAAGTGAATTCTGCTGTAGGTATTTGAGGCTGTGAACACTTCTTGTTGGGATTCAGGCAGCTTTTAGCCACCGTGTGCTATGAACACAGGTCCAAAGACCAAAGGTTGGCTCAGCAGAGCGCTTCCACTAAGCAGCCAGAAAGTGCCTGATGGATGCATCCCATTTGAAAAGTACAGCTGAGCCACTGGGAATAAATCCTGTTGACCTTCGATTAATTGTCAGCCTTTTCCTCTCGGCCTGTTACAAGCAGCCTTACCTACAGACAGCAAGCATTGCAAGAGTGCAGCCCGCTGCCCCAGCTGGCCGTAACGTGAATTAAGTTGCATTAGCACAGTTAAATATAGATGGTATCGACACGCGCAAGCTCTCCGTGCCTTGGGCTCTGCTGAGCCAAGCGACAGAGGATCAGCCAGCAGGTCAAAGCTGATCCCACTGTAACTGCTCCAATTTAGAGCCGTGGATTTGGGCTGCGGGTGGTGTGTGCCCTCCCCAAGCATCGAACCCATGGGGGTTTTGCATCTGGGAGACGGTCGCCTTTCCAGAGCACTTGGTCACTTTGGTTTTTGGGAGCTTGGCAGCAAATGCCTCGTTGGAAAGGCTGCAGAGCAGGGAGATGTCAGGAGGAGATGCATTTAACTCCTTTGCAGGGGGGAAGCAGGGAGAAAGGGACAAAGGAAAACTGCTTTGCCCGCAGCCAGCAGCTGCTGCTGCCCTGCAAGCACTGGGGCCATTGCCCCTTGCATGACATATGAATGAGCTTTAAATGGAAAAACCCCACAGTAGAGCCCCTGTGCTCTAAATTAAGCCACCGCTGAGCCAAGAGGGGTGTTGGGTTTCTCACTCATCCTCTCCCCTCCGAGCTCTGCTCAGAGCTGGCAGGTCCCACAGGACAGGGCAGCCTCACTCAACAAATGCCACCTCAATCCCCACACATCTCCTCTTACAGAGCAAAGGCTCCAAACCCCATCTGCTGGCACAGGATGAAGCTTTGGGTTTTAGAGCAGTTCATTTGTCAGCAAGAATAGTTATCTGTACCTCTTCAGGAAGGAAAGGGGATCTTGACAAGAAGGGCTAATGGCAGCAGGCTTCAACTGATGCGGGGTGTTGCTCTTGCCAAATGCTGGGAGCTTTCTTTGGAGCCCTTCCCAGGGCAGCAGGAGATCCTGGGGGGAGTGTGGTGCATTGGTGGGATCACTGGGGGCCAGGGGGAAAAGGCAGGACTGTTCTGGGGGACTGAAAGATGTCATGGGTGACCTGGGATGGAAGGCTGAAAGGTTGGATGGACAGACAGACAGACTGATGGATGAGTAGATGTGTGGGTGGGTGGATGGAAGTTTGAATGGATGGAAGTTTGGATGGATGGAAGTTTGGATGGATTGATGTTTAGGTGGATGGATGTATTTCGCCACATTTCCTTCTCCCAAGCTCTTCTGCTAGCCAGGGAGGTGCCTGCTGAGGTCCTAGTTGACAGGCTCCCAGCTGCACATGTACATGGGCAGATTTGGTGGGGGAACTTGAGGCAGTACGAAGCAACACATGTTGTTGATTACAATCCTCTCTCCTTCCATTTCACCTCACAGAGAGCTGCTCCAGCAGCAGGGAGGCAGCAAGACGAAGCAGGTGGAAGTGGCCAGGAGGAAGTTGTCCCCATCTCACGTTGGTGCTGTGCCCTATTGGGAGGGGGTAAGGCTTTCATTGAGGCCCACTATCTTCCCACTCACTTCCCTGCATATGAAAGAGAGGATTGCCCTCTGCTCATGTACCACATCTTCCAGCAACCCGACAGATGTTTGAAGATGCTGTCATTAAATCAGCTCGAGGCCATAGACAGCTCTTAGCAGTAAAGCTGCAGTACTGGGGCAATAAAACACACAGGTGTCCCCAGTGCTGAGGAAGGCAGGCTGGTCACATTAAAAATAAATCTTACTATATTCGAAATAGAGAGTGAGGGGTTTTTTTCTTATTTTTTTATAGTATCTATAAATTAAAGCTAAATGATTTTTATCATCACGGTTCCCAGAGCCTTGTGAATAACTGCCGCACCTCTGCTGCACTTTCCATCCAGGAAGCTCACAAATTACCCAGGGTAAAAACGAAACATAAAATTAGATAAAAGGGAAGGCAAGATAAAATAATGAAATAATCAAATAAAATAATAAAATAAAAATAAAGGGACCTGCTTTCCTCTTTTCTCAGGCAGTGAACGTGCTGAGGATTCCCAATGTGGAGCACAGTCGAGGAAAAAGATTTAGGGGCAGACACAGCTTTCCTTTCTCTGAGGCACCCTGAGGTATTCCGGACATCAGCCACACTGCTGTCAGTGAGTGGAGGCTCATCACGGTCACATGGAGCATGGTAAATTGTGTTCGTTGCTTATCAACACTGAGCTCTTAATTAATTCTTCTCTGAGCACCTGGTCAATTATAACAGGGTGTGAGGGGCCAAGTTCCTCTGGGTAGGGACGGAGCTGTGGCAGAAAGATGAAGGCTTTGGTGGTTTTCATTATTACACCATTGAGCAGTGGGCTCTGACTTGCCCTCATCCAGCCCCAGGCCAGGGGGAGCCCCTTGGCACAGAGCTCCTGGGGTGGTTCCTCTCTCTGGAGCCCAGAACGTGCTGCATTTCACCCCAACGCAGCCAGCCTGTGGGGTGTTGATCACACCTGCCTTTGTTCGCTCCCCCAGCCCCAAGGGCAGCTCATGGAGGTCAACCCCACCAGGATCTTCAACCAAACCTCGTAGGGAATGGCAGAGAGAGCTCAGCTGGGCACACAGAGATACCAGATGCTGCGTTGACTCATACTTGGCCAACCCCAAAATCACTCTGCCCATATCCGCAGCCAGTCCCCTTCTTTCAGCCACACACAGCGTGCCTCAGTTTCCCCACCTGTGCACTGAGGTCAGCCTTGCAGGCTGGAAGCACAGCCCCAGACCTGGCCCGGGTTGGCTTTGGCAGCCAGCTCAGGTCCTTTCCAGCAGCTGCAGTGACAGACAGCTCCTGAACCAGCCCCTCTGCAGCGCTGCTCTAAAATAAAAATACCTCCCGTTGCTGTGCTCCACTCCTGGCCAAACTTCCTCTGCAGGCACTCTGGGGGGGACAGAGCCCCCAGATCTGCCCTGCTGGGCTGAGAGATGCCCTAGGGAAGGCCAGCAGCCCCCCAGAGCTCTGCCTTAAGGTTGTTTTTTTGTCCCCTACTTTTCTCCCCCTCCTGTCCCCCAAGCCCTCAGGTTGCATTGCAGGACGCTGGCACCCCCAAGGGCTTAAGGTCAGTAATGGGGAGAGAAATGGGGCTTGGGGGGGGAGGGGAGGAATAGTAGCCTGCGGGGGGTGCCCTTGGTGGGGAGGGGGTGAGGATGATGTGGGTCTCGGGGGAGGGGGGGCAAACCCTGAAGGGGAAATGCTGAGCTTGGCAGCTAAAACTAATCTTGCCCCCCTCCCCCCCCCCCCCCCCCCCCCGCTTTAATGCGAATAAATAACCAAGCAAATAAAAGCCTTGAGAAACATGGAAAAGGGATAAAAGCTCTTTAAAGCCGCATCGCCCGGTGCCCTCCCGCCGCACAGGGACTGCAGAGCGATGGCAGCGTGCTTCCCCCCCCTCCCAGGCTCCGCAATGCCCGCTGACCCCAAATCCACCCCGCTGCTTTGTGCTGCAGATGTGGGTCCGCTTTTAATTGCTGTCTGAACGCGGAGCTCTGCTGATCGGGGGATGCTGGCAGGGCAGTAGGGCGCTGCCACCACGGGGTGAGGTGGCACCGAGATGACAGGGCAGGACCCTCACCCGACCCCAGCCCTGCTGCTGCTGCTCCTCCTTCCCCCCAAGCCCCAAAAGGATTTGGGCAGCTGACGACCCGCGGAGGTGATGGGAGATTGGGATGGGAAGGTGTTGCAGTGCCGGGGTTAATTAGTATTGGCAGGAGTAATTAGCCCAGGGCTTTGGGAACACCCCCAGCACACAGGTACATGCTGAGAGCCCAGAGCAAAGTAAAACACCTGCAGTAAGCAGGCAGTGGGTGGGGAAGGGGGGAAATTCCTCTGCATCCCCTCCAGCACCTTTGGGCTTGACCTGCATCCCATCAAGAAGTGAGGGGTGATGCAGGAAGAACCCCATCCTAGTCTTGGGATGGGTGTGAGCCCAAATCCTGTATCCTGGGTGGGTCTGGGGCTCCCCCAGCATTCAGCTAATGCTGCTTGCTCCTCTTCTACCAGCCTACACAGGAGCCCACCAAGCAGGGTGACTGAGGACCAGCAGTAACTTAAGGCATCTGTGGGGTGGCTGAGTTTTTACCTCGGGTTTTATTCCCTCCCCTTTCCCAGGTCTGGATACCCTACACCCAGCAGTAACCCACAGCTATGGGGGTTAAGACGATGCTGCCCAGCCATGAGCTGGGCTTCTATGCTCTCGTTGTGACCTGTGCCGTGCTGTACAGTGGCAGCGGTATCTTTGAGGCATCCAGAGGTAAATATCCCTCACTGTGTCCCTCCTCTCCTTCCTTATCAACATCATAGCTTTAATTTGTTTGGTGGATAGTAACTTGGGAGTCCTTTAGAGTGGATCCAAAGGGATTTAATACCCACTGCTTTCAGCCTTGTTGCCCACATGGCCCCATTCCTATGGCTCTCTAGCTGTTGCCCTGAGCATGCCACCAGCATCACACGGATTCACTTCCCAATGGTTCTTTTGCCTAGAAGTAGAAAGAAACACCTGAAAAATGCACCCCTCCAAGTGGGAACTCATGCAGGAATGGTTGACATTCCTGACTCCCAGTTTTCCATTAGAAATGGGAACTTTCAGGATGGGGCTGAGGGTGTTTGGGCCCCCATGACTCATCGTCGTGGTGAGGAAGGTTCCTTGCCTTGCCAAAACGTAGCTCCCTCTTTGTTTTTATCATAGAATCACTATGGTTGGAAAGATCACTGAGATCCCCAATCCCACCCCACCCCACTGTTATGGCCCTCAGTGCCACATCCCCACACCTCCAGGTGCAGTGACACCATCACACCCCTGGGCAGCCTGTGCCACTGCAGCACCACTCCTACAGGAATCAATTGTTCCTGTTATTCAACCTGAACCCTTCTCCCCAGAAATTTGCAGCCTGGTCTAGTGGTTGGTGACCCTACCTGTGGCAGGGAGGTTGAAAGTGGATGATCATTAAGGCCTTTTCAACCCAGGCCATTCTATGATTCTATGATAACTCTTGTTCTTCTGCAGACAGCATGAACAGAAAAGCCTTTCGGGATGGCATCAAGCCAGGCTGGCACTACTTTGGCAGGAAAATGGTAAGAGGAGGAAGCAGAGCTCTTATTTTGCTATGGACACTTTTGAAAAGTCTTTGTGTATTTTGTCCCTTAAGAAAGGAGTGGATGTTGTCAGGGAAATGGTAGCCCTGCAGCACGGAGGATGCTCTGATTTGGATTTGTCTCTTCCCAGGCGTTATGACAAAGCTAAAGTTCTTGTCAGCCCTTGGGTGGAAATTGGGAAGAAAGGGCTCTCAAATGCATGTGTTTTCCTCTTGAAATGGGCAGTGGGGTGGGGACATAGAGGCTGGGGACCATTAAGCAGCCTGCTGCTCCCACAGGACGTAGCCGACTTCGAGTGGATGATGTGGTTCACCTCCTTCAGGAACGTCATCATCTTCACCCTGTCAGGACACGTCCTCTTTGCCAAGGTGTGCTCCATGACAGTGCCACAGGTGAGTCAGGGCTGGGTTAAAAGCAGTGGGTTTACCTGGCATCCACTGGGCGGGCATGGATGGGATGCTGCAGGGCAGTTTGGAGGAGGGAGGGCTGAGGGCTGCCACCCTTCTGATGGTTTCCCCTCGCAGCACCGGGCCGTGGTATACATGCTGTATGGGATGCTGGCTGTGCTGGGCAGCATGGGGCTCGCCTACCTGATGATCATCCTTTCCCACTGCCTCATCCTCTACTCCGTGGCGCTGGCCAAGCAGAAGTGGCTCTGCTATGTGGCTGGGCTCTGCTGCCTCGCCTCCATCAAGCTGGAGCCCTTCAGCTCCTGGCAGGTAGGTGCCATCCTGAGCCTCCCCTCTGCCTCCCATCCCTCTCCTTGGGTTTACTTCCTTGGGTGTCCCCAGACCCCGACTCCTTTTCCTGGACCTGTGGCAGCTCCTTAGGGTTTGAGAGCAGGGCAGCATTGTGGCACTGAGCTCAGGAGCAGTCCCCTGGGGGCTGTGTCACATACTGGTGGTTTCCATCTTGCTGCTTAGACAGCAGTTTGTCAGATGACACCAAGCAAGAAATTTTCTTCCCCCATGCCTCAGTTTCCCCACCTGTCATGCAGCACTGGGATGGGTGCCTACCTGTACAGTTAAAGGCTTTCTCTCACTGGTGGGTGGGGAGAAGCTCAGGGAGAACCTTATAAAGCCATGCAGTCCCTCTGAAGGGCAGTACTGCCAATCCCTGCCCATCATCACTTCCTGAAATGTGCTCCTGCCTCTCCACTGGGCTTCCACCGCTTCCCTCCTCCCTCTGGGGGAGGAGGAGGCTTTGTCCCTCTGCCCCGGGACAAAGTGACATTCCCATCCCAGATCACAAACACATCTTCAGCAAGTGACTGTGGACTGTGTTGGCTAAGAGGACCTCCCACTCCTCTGGGATGTAGGAGCCAGAATGAAAATGGAGCCCTGGCTTGGCCCTCCAACAGCAATGCTCATTAGCTGCAGGGATAATTGCCGGAGAGTAATTAGGGGCTTTGCCAACTGCCCCAAACGTGGATGTTTTCTGCAAGATGAGGGAGAACCGAAGTGATGCCGCGTGCCTGGTGGTAACTGTCCATTTCTCACCCAGAGCGGGTTTGTAACAGGAGCTTTTGATCTTCAAGATGTCCTTTTCTATGGAGGAAGTGGCTTCACCATCATGCGCTGCATGAGCTTTGCACTCGAGAGCTCCGAGAGGAAGGAGGGCATTTTCTCCATCTTCGACCTCCTCAAGTACAACTTCTACCTTCCCTTCTTCTTCTTCGGGCCTGTCATGACGTTTGACCAGTTTCACAGCCAGGTGAGTGTCCCTATGGCCTCTTGAGTTGATCTGCGTGAACTGAAGGTCTACAAATCCCCACTGTTGGCCACAGCGAAGGTGTAAGCAGTCATAGAGGTCATGTAGGCCATGGACACAGACCAGGCTGCACAATGGAGCTGTGTGTTTTGGTGAGGGGTGAAAACTGATGGGTTTTTCATCTTCTCTTTTGGGTTTTTGGCCATTTCTCCTCACCAACGCAGAAAGGAGGACACTGTCATGGTGAATGTGCCATGTTGGGATTGAGGGCAGGAGGGCTCATCTCGTTCCTTTGCTTGTTGGGCACTTGTGCTGCTGTGTTTTGGCAAGCCTCTGTCCTGATGCTTCCTCTGATCCAGATGACCAAACTTGGACATCTCATATACTGCACACAACCAAGGGGGATTTGTGAAGGGCAGACTCCAAACAGCAGACCCCTGGGCTGCCGCATCTGGGTTCTTTCACATTCAAAGATCGAGCAACTGCTTTTCCAGTCCTGGGATCCTTCGACCCCAGTGACCAGCCTTGGTCCCAAGTCTTACCCAAATGAGCGGGTATGGCTTGCTGATGTGCCAGGAAGCCCAGCTAATGATTACTGTCCACGCCGCTGCTTCCTTTCAGAGAATGAATAATTCCAATAATATTGGGGCTCTGACATCTGGATGCAAGAACATTTCAGACATTCTTTCATGAATTCAGAAGAGAACACAGCCCAGGCTATGTTTCTGTGTTTCTTCTAATGATGCTGTCAGGTGTAAATAAATCAGGTCAGTGGACTTGTGGTGCCTGCAAGACACGCACTCCCATCACCATACAGGTGATGTGAGTGGGTCTTTGTTTCCTGCTCCTTCCACATAATCCCAGATAGGGGTGTTTGTAGCCACTTAATGAGCAATCCCCTCCTCTGCTGCGTAAAACCCTGTCCCCAAAGGCACGGTGAGAGAGTGCAGCCCCTTTCCCACCCCACAGACCGGGGACCTGCCTTGGCCTGGACACCACTGCCACCTCCTGGCGAGGTGCCACCCTGCACTGCTTGCCCTGCGGCTAATTGTAGAGCTAGTTCCTAATTGCCCAGTAGTAATTATAAAGACGGATAGGTTGAGTCCTTTCTCCAGATGGGATGTATGGCCTCGTTAGGGGATGGATCTCCTTGGCTCCTAATGGTGCTGTGTCCTGGAGGGGCCCTTTCACCCTGCATCCCCCATGGGTAGTGGGACTGTGGAATCACAGTATCATTCAGGTTGGAAAACACCTTTGATATCCCAAAGTCCAACCCCAGCCCACTGATCACATCCCTCATCTCCACGGTTCTTCAGCATCTTCAGCAATGTTGACCTCACCACCTCCCTGGGCAGCTGTGCCACTGCATTGCCACTCTTTCAGAGAAGAAGTTTTTCCTACTATTCAACCACGGCTTGGCCAATCCTTCTCAGGCTGTCTCTCTTACTGAGAGGAGGGAAACAAACTCACTTCTGTGGGGGCTGGAAGTGCTGGGGACAGAGACCCGATCCCCATGTCCTCTCCTGCTTTCTTCTCCGTCTCAGCAGCCTCTTTGTGTCCTTAAAGTGCTTGGCATACAACAGACAGGAGAAAATCTGTCAGAGGCTTTAATTCTCAGGAATCATCTGGTTCTGACGGCAGGGCTGGTGCGGCAGCGTGCAGATTGCTTTGAGAGAACTCCCACCTCCCACTGGGAATAAAGGGAAAGTCATAAACATAAGAGGATTTTAAATACAGCAGCAATTCTTACAGCAATGCGGGGAAGCGAGGCCATCAGTCTGTCCAGTGTAATCCCAACTGCTCGCTCTGATGATTTCTGTATTACAACATCCAGAGAAATGGCAGCTCCCAGAGGCCGTGTCCTCACAGGGTGCTGCAGAGAGGAAAACCCCACTGAGAGCTCCCAAATGCCCCTTGTGCATCTGTCTGTCTCCCTTACAACAGATATCTACAGCAGAAGTTCCAGGGCTCATCAACCATCCTCCTGATCCTCCTCCTCCTCCCAGATGAGCCCAGCCCAAATGCCCACCTGTCCTGGGCAGGGCTCCTGGCTGGGACCAGCACGTGGATGCCTGTTCTTACAAGTTGTGGCATCCTGTAGATGGGATGGCTATGAGCCTAGAACAAGGAAGTAGTGAAAATGTTTAGGTTTAATTGGATATTGTAGATTACAGCTAGAAGCGTAGGCAAGGAAGACAAGGAAATGGCAAGGAAGACAAGGAAATGGTATCTCAAACTATCAGAGGAAGAACCTGATACATTAAATTGGCCCATGAAGGACTGATTAGGCAGGTTTTGGGAAAAACTACCCAAAGAAATTGCTGTAGCACATATAATGGGACATCAAAAAGGAGATTCTTTGGGAGAATGGAGAAGTAGAGCAGCTGATGACAAAGTGAAGGAGGCTGCTTTACAGTCACAAAAAGCAATGAAACTGTCTCAGGTGCCTGAAATAAAGCCTCACTGCATCCTGTATTGAGCTCTGCCTCAGCAGCTCATTGTGAACAGCAAACCTGCAGCCACTGTGTAAGAAAGTGGAGTAAAGGCTTATGCCTTAGTGCTAGAAGATCGCCACTGCAAAAAAGGCTATCTAACACTCACACTTAGTGACCTATGCAAAGGTCAGCCTTAAGCTAAATTGATTTCTTGAGAATGTCCCCAAGGAGAGATCCTAAACTCTGTCTCATTGGTTGTTATGGTGTTCACCCCATTGAGGACATTTCCTCTTCTTGGGTCTTCTTTAAGCAATGGGAATTTGGACAGTGTATGTCGTGGTGTGATTCCTAAAGGAGTCCCTTAATTCCTAAGTTGAGTCCCTGTTTGGACCCTGAATGTTTCTCCAGTCTTGCTTCCCACCTTGCCCCCCAGCTCAGCCCTTCCTGCTTTGCCATCCTGGCAGGTGAGCACCCGAGATCTGCATCGCAAGGATGATGAGATGAGGAACATTCGGGTCCATGCCCTCCTCCATGTGGGGGCCATCATTGCTGTGGACATCTTCTTCCACTTCTTCTACATCCTCACCCTCCCCTCCGACCTGAAGTTCGTGAACCGCCTCTCAGACTGGGCCTTGGGTGAGTGGTCTTGGGGAAGTGCTCACCTTTGTGCTTAGCTTCAAGGCAGTGGTGGGTGATTCAGACCCCCATCCTACTCCATTGGGAAGCCTCAGCAGAGCCTATGTTGGACATATTTGAGTAGAGTCTTTCTTCCCACTGAGCTCCCTGTCATTCCTATTGTATGGACTGAAAGGGAGACAAGGTCTGAGGAAACCTGATCTCTATTTAAATTTGGCTATGCTGTGGGCAGGTCTGAACCAGGGTCTTCCAGAAGCCAAACTCCCAGGATGAGTAGTGGTAGCACACTGGCATTCAGCTGGCAGCTGGATAGAAGACTTCAGTCTCCCAAGTGAATGTCCAATGGCAGAATTTGAGATGCCACAGGGTATGTGACACCCACACTAGCCTAGAGCAGCCCCATGTCATATGGAGTGGCATCTGGAGGCCATGAGGAAATCCTAATGCAGTTATGATGGCTCCAGCATTGATTTAGGGTGTCCTAAGAGACCAGGAAGGCCTGATCAAGCATATATGTTATGTTACTCCAGATGGAGCTGTGCAGGCTGACCACATCAGCCAGGTCTGCCTCATCCACAGTGGGAGATGAGGTGTGACTGGGTGCTCAGGTGACATTGTGACCCTCAGAATAAAATCCTCTTTGTCCTTTTGACTCCTGTTTTTGCTCCAGCCGGCTTGGCCTACTCCAATCTGGTGTACGACTGGGTCAAAGCTGCTGTCATGTTTGGGGTCATCAACACCATTGCCAGACTGGACCACTTGGACCCACCCCAGCCCCCAAAATGCATCACCATGCTCTACGTCTTTGCAGAAACGTGAGTATGTTGCTGATGGAAGGCAGCATGTTTGACCCAAAAAATAATATGCATGGAGATGAGGAGGTCTGAGCTGTGCTTCTGAGCAGCCGGCCAATAGGTTGGCTGTACTGAAATTATAGACTAGACTTGGCCATAGCCCAGGGAAATATTCCTGGGCAGGGAACAATGGTAAGGAGGGAGGCTAGTGGGATCACACAGTAGCAGGACTTATTCTAGGAAAGAGCATGGAGAACTACTGTGAATGAGGTTCAAAGTAAACCTTGTTGGGGGACCAGGCACCCTCTATGGTTGGAAAGGTGTCATTAGCCCACGTGTTCTAATGTGCTCTTTGCCATCTGTATTGTAGGCATTTTGACAGAGGGATCAACGACTGGCTGTGCAAGTAAGTGCCTACTCAACCACCTCTTGTCTATTTTGGGGTCTTCTCTTTCATCATGCACTCCAGATTGACATGTTTGTGAGAAGCATGTCTTGGGTGAATGTGGAAGAAGGGGTTTTCCTTGACTATGGGGAGCACTAATCACTTTCATTGACCATTAGGTATGTGTATGACCACATTGGAGAGAACCACAACAACGTCATAAAGGAGCTCATGGCCACCATTGCCACGTTTGCTGTCACCACTCTGTGGTTGGGACCCTGTGAGATTGTTTTCATCTGGTCTGTCTTCAATTGCTTTGGCCTCAACTTTGAGCTCTGGGTGCAGAAATTCTTCCAGTGGGAGCCCCTCTCCAAACTGGAGGTGAGCAGATGCTCTGTGAGCAGGTGGGGGGACAACGGCGGGCCAGGGGACAAACTCTGCTCCTGGAAACACTTATGACTGCAGGGAGCTCACATTTCTTTAGACAAATGAAATCCATTCAGCTGAGACTGAAGAGCAACATCTCTGATGATGTCATGCAGCTCCATGTCCAGGCTTCCTACAGTGCTTTCCTATCAGCACTATGTTCAGGTACAGCCCAGAGAGCTGCTGATGCCCCATCCCTGGATGTGCTCAAGCCCAGGTTGGATGGGGCTTTGAGCAGCATGATCTGGTGAGGGCACCATGGCAGAGGACAGGAGCTCAGTGGTCTTGAAGATCCCTTCCAACATAAGCTGTGGTGCTGTGATACCAGCACAACTATGCAAGAAGACCTTGAATTTCCTGCATGGTGTCACTCACCTAGAGCAAATCCCCCCCCACCCCTATGATGCTTCATAGGAAATTTGGGCAGAGGATGGAGCTTTCAAAGAGAAAAGAAGTGCAGGACTGCAGCTCCAGTGAGGCGCTGAAATAGCACAAATGGATTCCAGAGGTCTGTCCATAGGGAATTTCTTATACATTTCCATGCAGAAATCATTTGCTTTTCTTGTTCTGCAAAACGCTTTGGCATTCTGAGGGCTTTTGATCTGATTTCTGATAAAAGCAAATATTTAGAATGAATTGTTTTCCAACCACTCCAAAGCTCAGTGCCCCATCCTTGTTTGGGACCAAGATGCCTCAGAGACATGGTTGGAAAAAACTCCATTCTGGGAACAATTTTGTTGTTTATTTGTTTTGCCCAGCCCAAAGCCTGAGGTCCTACACAGAGTCAGTAAAGACTCCTTTTAAACAAAAACATGGCAGAGCAATCCTCCTGTTTGCTCTGCTCTTTTTACTTCCAATCAGATTAAGGCACCCTCAGGCAGCGAAATCTCTTTCCCTGCAGCACTGCAACTCTCAGCACTGAGTGGTCTGGGGATGCATCATGCTCTTAGAAGATTGCTGTCAACCACTTCTCTGCTCCTGGGGAGCTGGGAGTGACTGGGATGTAGGGCTAATGATAATCCCAGCAAACAGCAGCATTCATCTGCCTTGAGGAATAGCAACAGATGAAGAGAGGAGTGCCCAGCCATCACAATTAGCATGAAACCATGCGTACCACCCTGATGAATTTTGGCTGCTGTCGGACTAACAGCATCTCCTTGCAGCTCCATTTTCCCTCACTCTGTTCTTCTCTCCTGCGTAGGCCAAAATGTCAGCGGCCACATCTCGGCGGATTAGGGCTGTTTTTGGGGCAGCAAATTTCTGGGCCATCGTCCTCTACAACATCCTTGCCCTCAACAGTCTGGAGTTTGCACTGCTGGTTACCAAGAGACTCCTCGTGACAGGTAAGGTGCCAGAGGCCTTCCCCACTGAGCAGTCCCTGTCCTGGTGGGCAGATATGGGGTGTGGGCTGCCAAGTCCTCCAGTGTCCAAGGCAGCCTGGCCGATGCCATGTTACATGGCTGCTCCCAGCCACGTCTGTTCTTGTGCAAGATGTGAAAATATGGATCTCTTAGCTCCCATCTGGGTTAATGCCTGGACTAGATGGTCTTACTGGTCTTTTCAATCTTAATGATTCTATGATTCATGCCAGCTCTTTGAGGTATGAGCTGCCTTTGTTTGTGCATTTCCCCGTGCAGCCTCACGCTGTGACTTGCTGCAATACAGAGGTTGCAGCTGGGGACCTGTCCCAGGTGGGCTGAGTCCCTGGGTGCAGAATGGTCCCTTTACTGGAGAAAAGGATTTACTCGTCCTATTTCATTTCCCTTTACTTTAGTAGCTCTTTCTGCGCCAGCCTGAAGGTGACATGTACAAATCCTTATGCTAGGCTCCTTACAAACAGAATTATCTACATTTTGTTGTTGGCAGATGCTGGTACTATTTTGGAATCTTCTCAAGCAACTCACTGTATAAATAGCCACCTGGAATCCATGTCCTCCAGCCTCCTTTGGGACAGGTCTGGCTTAGGAAATGGATAATGTGACGTGCTGGGCTCTATGTGCCAGAAGTGCCTGCCCGCTGAGTTAGCTGGCTTTTGTGGGTTGCATTATTCATTGCAGAGGTCCTCTTTTAGCAGGTACAAAGCCTGTGCCTCCTATCTGCTGTGGATACCCAACTTGTTGTCACAAACGCCCACTGGCCCTTCCTAAGTTGAAGGCATCCTCCCAGCTCTTGTTACTAATCAAGGTGACAAAAACGTGTTCCCACATAGGGATGCAACTAAGCTGAGGTTAACCCTCAGTGTCAGCAGGGTCTAAAGATTCCAGAAGGTTGCAGTGCTGAACAAGGATGAGTGATGGCAGGTTACGAAGCCAACTGCTGAGTCTGAACTCAACAGGCAAAGCAGATCTGGGGGTCAGCGAGAGCTCAAAGCAAAACGCCAGCATGTTCCCACAACATTAACTGTGATCCAGGATGCCCTCATGGCTTTAAGCACTTCTTCATCTAAAACCCATCCTTGGGGATTTCTCTCCTCCCTCTGTGAAGCTGTTGGTTTGGATCCACAAAGAAAAATAACTGTAGCCATGAACCCGGGGACCTCCCATGCCCACGTGAGGAGCAGAGGTGCCAGAGAAGTGTTGGCCCCATTAGGTAAGCAGCACACCAAAATGACCACGTCTCCCTCCATCTTCCAGGTTTCCCTGTCAGCACCTTGTCCATCTGGTTCATCACATACTGTGGAGTGCAGCTGATCAAAGAGCGTGAACGCATCCTGGCCATGGAAGAGGAGAAGAGTGACAAACCCAAGGCAGAGTAGAGGAAGATAGCAGTGCGCTTGCCCCAGAGCCTGGACTCCCTTCTGACTGTCTCTGCCAGGCCAGCCGCTGTCGGGGGCTCTCCAAGCACTCCTGGCAATCAGACTGCTGTAACTCACCTATAGAGAAGTCATCTGGAAGGCAGATGCCACCCCTTTGCTGCAGGGATCTCCTGTGGCACAGCAGGCATTTTGCACGCTCCCCACACGTGGCGGACCACTGAGATAGGCTCCTGAGACACATCTTTAAGGCTCCATCCTTTTTCTGACCCTTTGGCACCGTGCAGGCTTAGAGATTTCACCCTCTGCTCCCCAAAACACCCGATCCTCCAGCATCTGGCTCTCCCACAGGACCTGCAGCCCAGGTCTCCCATCTCCAGGTCGCTTCCAGCCAAAGCATCACATTTTTCTTTTGCTACAAGAAATGGTCATCATATACCGTAAATGGTTCAACATCTGGGGCTGTGCATTAGGGACTGTGAAATGGCTCAGCACAATGGATGCCTACCAAGAGGCTAATAAATAAATAGAACAGTCTTTTATAGCAAAGGGAAAGAGGTTCAGGAACTGCAGAAGGGAAGAGTAATTGTCTTCCCGCTGCCGTCAGCGGTGCAGACTGATGTCTGTTAGTATCTCAAAACAGGTCCCTTCAGTCCTAAACATCTTGAGAAATGATTTAGTGCCAGCTTCAGGTGTAGTCAGTGGCAACGCAGGGGGCATGCCTGCTTCACAGCCAGAGCACATCACGTGCTGCTCGTCTGCAGGGTGGGCATGTGGAAGGAAAAGCACAGCTCCCAAAGCTCAGCCCAGACCCAGCTCAGCCCCAAAGGGCCCTTTGCAGTGGGTTGTGCCACTGGTGTGGCCATCACAACCACCTCACTGTGACACATGCCCTGGGTCTCAAACCAAGTACCACTCAGTTTTTTTTGCATGCCATGGACAAAAGTTGAAGCTCACATTCCTGTCCATGGCCAAGGGCTCAGTAGTCAATTCTTGCCCATCTCCAGCCTCCCAGCCTGACTTTGATGCACACAGCCTAAGCCTGTGCTACACAAGCACACACACATACATACAACCAAAGGAGAAAGGCACCAAATAAAGGGCAGCACTTCGGGGCTGGGTGGTGGAGGGGAAGTGCCTGATAGCCTCCTTGGAGATGTGGGCTTTGGGGCACTATATGGGAAGTGCATTGAATAAATGACCCCACGGTGCCTTGGGGAGGAGCTGGGTCTGTCACTGGAAATAGATCCAGCTCTCTTGCACTTTACAGCAGCTTTCAGAGGCCTTATGTCTGAATGGTGTCAGTGTGTGGTGAGGGTAGAATGTGGACCACTTTGCAACATGGGTTGAGATGCTTGGTGCTGCTGTGTTCTGGCTTCTCTGCGGATGAAGCAGGAATGGTTCCTTGTCAGCTTTCAGCTCTGCCCAAGTGATTGACAAAGTCCCTGATAAATGTCATTTATTTATGTAGTAAAAAAATTGTTGGACATCTATGGTGCCTACCACTCATCAGTGTTGTGTTGCTATGATTCCAGAGAACCCTGGGAGACATGCTGATCTCCCTGGAACTGAGAGATCCAGGGTCTGTTTGCAATTTTGACATCTAAGGACACTGCTGATTTTAAGAGAGACCCACTCATCATTATCAGATCAAAGCTGGTGATGTGTGGCTGTAGCTTGATTCGTATTTTGAGTCTACTGCCATGCTGGTAGCATTTTATGAGCCTACTGCTGTAAAACTGTTGTCTGTGTAGCTTTGGAGGTAGAAGTCATGTGGGTTTTCTTTGTGGGAGCCTGGCCCCAAATGTTGGAAGTGCAGTGAGGCATTGTTGCACTTCCAGTCACATCCATAGAACTCCTTCAGCTGCCAGGCACACCTTTTTTTAAACAGAGGTTTGCTGCTGGACCTTTGGTAGGTGTCGATCCAGCACCTCAGCTATGACATGTTGTGCCCTCTCCTAGTGTAAAATCCAATTTTTCTCCCCCATGCAGGTGTCTGCAGACAGCTGAAGCCTCCCTGAGCTGCAGAGTCCAAGGGCTCTGTCTTTTTGGGCACCCCTAGGTGCACAGGAAGGGAAACAGAGTCACCATCTCCTGGTGCCGGGGAAGATGAGTCACATGGCAAAGCCAATGACTCTGCACTGCACTCCCAGCCTGGATAGTCTGGGAGAGAAAATAACCCATTCACTAAGGATCTAAATTTACTCAGCAGCTACGTCTAATGGAGCTGTCAGAAGCTAATCTTAGACGCTGGTAGAGCACTCTGTTACAGAACAGCTCGTGGGAGAAGTTTGCCCACCTTTGCCTGAAGGTCTCCCCTTGGTTATCACTGCTGTTAGAAGCCCACAGGGGTCCCATGGGTCAGGAGCACCAAAGCACTGCTACCACTGCCACGTCTCAGTGCTCAGCCTTGTGTAGAAGACCCTCAGTTTCAACATATGCCACTGGGGAAAGTATGGAATCCAACCTTGTTATTGCCTGGCTCTGGTAGCAAGAAAAGCAACGTTTTACTACAACTACAAATCCAGGTGAGTAGTTCTACACAAGGCACATTTTTCAACCTGACACAGCTATAATTCTTGCATTCACCTTTCTTGCTCTAAAGTTCTGGATGAGAGGGAGCGATCCTCCTGCACTTCATCCCCTTAGGATGATTTGCATACGTTCCCACTCGCTCTCATCCTTAGTGGGGTGACTGTTGCCCACCTGGAGACAACTGACTTCGTCCCTTGGTCACTGGGCGTACCACTCACTCATTGTAGTTCTGTTAGACCAGGGTCAGCTGGCTGAAAGCCACTCAGAGTTGCCCAGCTCATAGTTGTGAATGCTGCCGCAGGCCTTCACAAGGATGGCATCCATCTCTGCCAGGGGTAGGAGGCACTGGGAGCAGTTAAGGCTATCTAGGATAAATTCATGATTTAGGTGAATGGGGAAAGATGGACCTTAGTGGAGTTCTCTCATCTCAGGCAACTGTCCAACTTGGGTGCAGTGAATCAACTCCCAAAGGTGAATCAACTCTCTGTGGCCATAGGGAGCCTAAACTCAGCCCTCGGGCTGTTTGCTTGGAAATATCTCTGTTTTCCATCAACCCATCAATCTCTAAAGTGATGAGACTTACACACAAAGGGGGATCAGCAGTGAGAAGAGACAGCATCTCGTGACATGAGCAACATGGAAGGAAATCTGGGATGGCAGCACCCACTGAGCAGCACGGTGAGAAGGAAAGCAAGTCTGGGCTCAAGGAAGATCAAAGACAGAGGAGGATAATTCCAAACCATAATGTGACCGCACTGGGAAAGTGGAACGCTAATACAGAAAGAAGGGAGAGGGGAGGATGGGGCTGTCCAGCCCCAGATATCTGGGAGCAAATGAATATTGCTGATGGATGACCCAGGTGAAAGATCGGTGCTCATCCTCTGATCGTGTCTCTGATCCTGAACTGATGATGTGAGCTGAAATCAGCACATGATTGTAGCCCTGCTATATTACTGCCTGGGATGCTGCTGGAAGCTCAGCAGTACAGCTTCATCCAGCATCATCCCCTCCCTCATTACTCAGATAACCATCATGTCACAAAGCATACTTATCAACACACCCATGCCAGAGCAAGGGGTTATGTGGCTTTAAATACACCAAGAAGAGTGTGGCTAATGGCTTTGCAAAGATCCAATTAATTTGTTAATTAAATCTGTGCCATCTCTGAGTGTCAGAAAGCCCAAAGGGTCCATAATAACAGAGATAAAACAGACTCTTGTAGGAGTTTTACCATAATTACAAATAATCATAGTTGCTCTGCTCACCTATGTCTGCCCAAACCAATTTTCTTCCCTGCGAGCTCCATGGGAAGAGCTGGACCTGGAGCAGCCAGCTGAGGCCTCGTGAGGCTCTGCGATGTCCATGCAGGACGCAGGACCCGACAGAGCCCTTGGCTCTTCTGCAGCCCCTGCTGAAGGCTGGTCATGTTGCCCCACTGTGTCTCCAGGCTTCAGCGTGGGGGTTGAATCCCAGTAGACCTCAGCAGAAGACCCCAAACTCACAAGTAAATACCTGCTCTCAGGTGCCTCAGTCAGTGAGATGAAGCTCGCTGTTGGGGTCTCTGAATTTAGTTCTGCCTCAGATACTTGTGTTTCATTCTCCATCCCCTTCCAGACCCTTGAAAACTGACTATAGAGGAGAAGAAAGGGCAAATCTGCACAGCCCTGGGGACGAGCTGGGCTCAGGGATGCCGCAACACACGGACTCTCCCTTCTTGCATCTTTCCAGCTTTGATTCACGATCTGTTTTTACCGCCGCGAAAGATTTAGCAGTTTGGGAATGTTCTGTTTAGCAACGTCAGAGGTCTCATCCCTGCCATTCATGACCCAGGAGGCAGATTACGGTGTTTGATTCATCTGGAGGACATTTCCCAAGTGAGGTGGAGCTGTCATAGGGTCGCACCCGTCCTTCCACCAGGGGACGTGGTGACTCATCAGCTGACAGACGGTTCCTGAAGCATCGAGGCTGAAGTACAGCTGTTCCCCCCGTCCCCTCCCTTCCCCCTTGCCCAGTGTGTCATATTGAAGGGTGATCAGCTTACACATGCTCCAAAATGGATTCCTGAAGCTTTGTAACACGGTGGCTATATATAAAGCTCTGCGCTGGAAGCTGAAGTACACAGACAGCTGCGACAGTAGAGAGTTTCACATTCCCAGTGTGCTGACGGTCTGGAAGAAAGGGAGACCTGCGAGCCCCGCTTTGAGAAAGTTTCTTTACCAAAGGCACACATACAGATATATTTGTAAATAGACACAAAAGAAAGCTTAGGGAAGAAAAGGAGTTCTTACTCTCCACCATGGGTTTGCCTTTTGATCAAGTGGAAGAACTGCGTCTCTACCAGCAAACCCTCCTCCAGGATGGACTCAAAGACATGTTGGACCACAACAAGTTTCTGGACTGTGTCTTGAAAGTGAAGGGAAAGGAGTTTCCTTGCCATCGGCTGGTGCTGGCAGCCTGCAGCCCCTATTTCCGGGCAATGTTCCTCTCGGACATGGAAGAGAGCAAGAAGAGGGAGGTCAGCTTGGAAGATGTCGATCCAGATGTCATGGGCAAGATCCTCCATTACATCTACACCTCTGAGCTGGAGATCACAGAGCAGAATGTTCAGGACATCTTCTCTGTGGCCAACATGTTCCAGATCCCCTCCATCTTCACTGTCTGCGTGTCTTTCTTGCAGAAGCGCCTTTGCCTCAGCAACTGCTTGGCTATCTTCAGGCTGGGCTTGATGCTGGATTGCGCCCGGCTGGCTGTGGCAGCTCGAGATTTCATCTGCGATCGCTTTGCACTGGTCTCTCGTGATGAGGAATTCTACCAGCTCTCTCCCGATGAGCTCATCGCCATCATCTCCAGTGACTCCCTCAACATTGAGAAAGAGGAAAATGTCTTTGAAGTGGTGATGAAGTGGGTGGGCACCAAGGACCAGGAGAGCCGGCAGAAGGCCCTGCCTGTTGTCTTTGAAAGCATTCGCTTCCGCCTCATGCCCAAGGACTACATCAAGGACCACGTGGAGAAGCAGGCTGTGGTGAAGTCCAGCCCAGAGCTGCTCAAGAAATTGCAGATGGTGAAGGATGCCCAGCAAGGCAAATTCACCGTGGTGAAGAAGAAGAAAGTGAAGAAAAGCGATGAAAAGCAAGCAAAAGGCAATGTTGTCAATGGAGCAATAGATGAGGAGGAAGAGACAGAGGAGGATGTGCTTCCGGGGATCTTAAATGACACGATGCGCTTTGGGATGTTCCTCCAGGACCTCATTTTCATGGTGAGCGACAGTGGAGCAGTGGCCTATGATCCCACTGCCAACGAGTGCTATTTTGCCTCCCTGTCTGCTCAAATCCCAAAGAACCACGTCAGTCTGGTGACCAAAGAGAATCAGATCTTCATTGTCGGAGGACTGTACTACAATGAGGACAGCAAAGAGGATCCCATGAGTTCCTACTTCCTACAGGTATTGTACAGTCTTTGCTTCTTTATTTTCTTTGACCAGGAGCACGGTCAGTCTGAATTGATGTTAGCAATATCCATTGTCACGTGATGCTAAAATGAAAGAGGTAAATGAAGTTGAAATATTTAAGTTGCTTTATTAGAGACTTTCTTGCTACATTCTTGAAGTACGTACCACTAGAAGGGGTTTTTGGTCATTGATGAAGAAGGCTTTAATGGTCCAAATCCTGAACCTGACATCATTTTGGCAAATTCATTTGCTCCAGCCCTGCCTGCCAAAGGGCACACAAACTAGGTTGGAGGCACCAGGTCTTTGCATCCTTTATGTTCTGTGGGCATGAACCCCCAGCAAAACACGGAGATGATTCTGCCAGTTGACAACACAGGGAACAGCAGCAGTTATAGCCACAGAGTAAACACTGCAGGAACATGGAACATGTCCCTTCCTACCAATATCATCCTCTTTTCCAGTGCTGTTCTTGTCCCTGATTGTGTTCTATTTCCATCGTGTGCAAGGGAATCTCTGCTGTGGCATTTCTGGGGGATATCTAACAGGAAAAGTGGCTATTCTAACTCAGCAATAACCAAAGCTGTGAGCAGGTTGGGCTGTGAGCAGGCAATCTGAGCCCCAGCCTGGGTTGTAACCCAAGAGCACCTTCCTTATGGGGACCTAACAGGCCTTTCCTGCCGACCCTGTAGGAATCCAGTAAATCCTATGTCCTTCCCCCTCTACCCAGAAATCTCCTGGGTAAACAAGTTCCCATGGCTCACATCTGTTTTGGAAGGAAGCGACGGAGTGTTGGAAGGGTAAAGCAACACCAGCTCCCATGCTGAGACACAGAAGTTTGATCCTTGCCATGTTGCATGAGTAGGGCTGTGTACCTGTGCCATGTGTGCAGGGAATGTATTTGTCCTCACCTGAAGTGCCAGACTTAGGAGCCTATGCAGCCCACGTGAAATGAGGAGTTAATGGGAAGAGACAGCAGCCTGAGAAAGCAGAATGGAGAGGGAAGGCAGTGGGGAGTGCCTGGGGAATTAGTGCTAGGCACACAACCTTTTGCACTGAAGAGGAGCTTTGACCACAGCAGATACGGGCAACTCCATCCCTAGCTGTGCTCACATTCAGCCTAAACCTATGTCTAAAGATCAGTCCTCCACCTGTTTTGCAGCTGACCAGGCAAGTTAATTCCCTGGGCAGTTGAGAAGGTCTACCATGTCCTGGGCTGCAGCAAACATGTTGAGGGAAGTGATTTATTCCTTTTGATTGAGCACTTGTGAGACTGCATCTGGATGTATGGGAGACCACATCTGTGAGATGGGTGTGGATGTGGACGTCGAGTCCAATATGGGGCTTCTCAGCACACAAAAGACACAGAGGTGCTGGTGTGAGGCCAGAAGAGATCACCAAGATGGTGAGGGCTGGAAGGCTGCACATAGAAAGGACAAGAGGCAATAGCCTCAAGATACACTGAGGGAAATCTCAGTTAAATTCATAATGGAGGTGGTGCAGCACTGGAGCAGCAGTCCAGAGAGGTCACAAAACCTTCATCCTGGGGGACATTTCATATCGAACTGTAGAAGGTCCTGGTGACTTTGGGCAGCAGAGTTGGATAGGAGATATCTGGATGCCCCTTCAACCTGCTTTCATCATTGCCCTCAGTGTGTGTTGCTGTCTGAATAAGGTGTTCTCAGCCTTTTTCAGCTGGAGCTTCGCAAGGATGCAGGCTGGTCCCTGTACAATGAACCCCTGTACAATGCAGCAGCCTCTTACACCTCCTGACTCTGTTTCTGTCCTCCCCAGTTTCTTGTTCCTCCTGCAGTCAGGATTAGTTTACACTTAAGGGCAAGCATCAGTATAAATAAGTGCTGATAAATCCCAGAGGCCTTGCAGATTTTGGCAGGAACAGAATGATTCCGTTGACATTCCAGATGGAAAACGGTATCCTCTATTTGTCACTTCTAAGATTTATGCTTTGAAAACAATACTGAACCCATCGAGGAGCAGGAACTCTCCTGGTGACGGTGCTGCTCAGGCCTGCACCATAAATAACACAAACGAGGACCACAGCTCACAAAGGGACAACAATCACAGGCACTCAGCTGAGGCCAAGGCTTTGGAGGCAACTTCTTGGCCCGAGCCCATAGAAAACAGTGCTTCAGGCTGTGCTCCATCACAGCTTCCTCCTGCAGGGTTCCACCAAAAGGCTCCTAGAGGTCACTCTGGACTCGACCTGTGATGCTCCTTGCCAAGCTGTCTTAAAAGCGTTGACCCATTTTACAGCTCCCACTGAACACCTTGGTGTCCAAAGTGCCCCTCAGCCCCCATTCTGTCTCATAATATTTCATGGCTTTTTGTTCTCTGGTAAAGGAATGCCTTGATCCACAGACATCCAAGATTTGGTCATCTGATCTACCTGCATTGCACGTCTCAGTCTCCATGTCTTATCACACACACTTTGGTCAGCATTGAAGAGCTCTGGTCTTTGCAGTCTCATCTCTTAAGGTCGGATGTCAGGAGAAAAATATTCTCTGAAGAGTGATAATGCATTGGCACAGGTTGCCAAGGGAGGTGGTGGTGTCACCATCCCTGGAGGTGTCCCAGAACCATAGAGGTGTGGCACTGAGGGATGTGGTCAGTGGGGATGGTGGGGTGGGTTGGCATTGGTTTTGGTTAGCTTGGAGGTCTTTTCCAACCTGAATGATTCTATTCTGTGATCTCAGCTTCGTTGTACACTGTAGATTTTGGGTAGACAGGTGTAGTGTAAAGGGCTTTTGTGCAGACAGAAGCACATGCATTTCATTCACACAGTGAGGTGGTAGGGGACACCAGCATCCTGAAAAGCAGAGGAATAAGCCATTGCTTGATCTTTGCCAGCAGGAAGGAGAACTGGTGGGAGGAGAAAGCATTTTGCTCTTCACTGGCTGAGGTGAGTGAGCTATTTAGCCCAAATTGTAGGCAATACACCGTGACCTCGAGGAGATGGAAAATATCACAGTGAAGCACCTAGACAAATGCTGCTTCCAGAGAGGTTGTGGCAAAATCTCTAAGACTTAAGTCCAACATGGAAATCTTTCACCCAAAGATGGCCAAGCTTGTTCCAAGTCAAGGCTTTGCACGGAGTGGAACATGTCCCTGTGACAAGCTGCGAGTGGGAATGGGTGCTGCTCTGAGCCTCTGGATTCTGCAGGAAGACACGCACTAATGACCTTGTGTTTCCTTTCAGTATGACCATCTGGACTCGGACTGGCTGGGGATGCCCCCCTTGCCCTCCCCTCGCTGCCTCTTTGGCCTGGGAGAGGCAGAAAACTCCATTTTTGTGGTCGGAGGGAAAGAGCTGAAAGAGGGAGAGCAGACCTTGGATTCAGTGCTGTGCTACGACCGCCTGTAAGTGCCTGGGTGCAGGCGTGGGGCAGGAGGAGGTCAGCAGGGGAAAGTGGGGCAGCTGCTGTGCAAAGTGAATCCGGCTCCCCAGCAACCAACGGAGCGCAGTGACAAGGCTCAAACTCTGCAGCCAGACCCTGGGACTCAGGCTGTGCTGTGGGGCTCTGAGCTGCTCTCTGCAGCAGCATCGCTTGTTGTAATCGAAGCTCCCAAGGTGGAAGTAGAAATGGGGATATTAAATTACAAAGGAGTGATCTTGGCAGATGCTCACGTGGGACCCATCCAGAGGAGAAAGGGGAGGAAAAGCTTTTCCTCCTGCTGCTGCCTGTTGGTTTGAGGTCTCACGGGGCGTGCCTTTGGACAGGAAAGTTTGTTTTGAAAGTATTCAGATGTGGCACTGAATGGCCCACCCTGATGGATATCGGGCATAATATCCAATTATTTTTTGCACAATGGGGTCTGAACCAGGTTATGTCATGAACTGTATTTAGAGGCACCGTCCTGTTCTGCTCGTGGGAGGCAGAAATATCCAAAGGCTGCTCCTGTCTGCCCTAAAGAGGCAGAGTGGTAGGTGTTAACAAGCCTCTGCTCCATTTATTTTTAGATACATCTGCTTCAAAGACTGTTTTAGAGGCTGTGATTTGAAACCAATTTCATTTCCCCGGAACACGGGGTATTATCTGGGAAGCACTGTGAGTTCTCCTGCCATTTGTGCAGGGGTGGCTTGAGTGTTGGCTGTAAGTTGGCAGAGATATGAGCAACACCACTCCTATTTCTGGTGTAATTTAGGTAAAGAGTTCAACTATAGCAAACCTGGAGGGGACAAAGCGCTGGTCTGTGGAAGCAACTGGAGCGGTCAGGCAATTAGGAGGCATTTCCATTCTTAGGTAGAATGAAGTGCAGGTCTTTGGAGGCTGATCCTATATGGTGAGGCACTAGAATGGACTGTCCAGAGAGGCAGTGGTGCCCCGTGCCTGGAGACATTCAAGGTCAGGGGATGGGGCTGTGAGCACCTGATGGAACTGTGGGAATCTGTGCATTGCGGGGAGTGGGACCTGATGGCCTTTAGGGTTCCCTCCCAGCTCAAACAGTTCTGATTCTATGGTTCTCAATGAACCTGAGCTACGTGGACATCAAAACACATCCTGAGAAACTCCAGCCCTATTTGGGCCTATGTGCCTGCCCACTGAGCATAGGTGTTTAGCCTTCCTTTGGGTCTAGGCACCACAAATACATCCAAATTTTAGCTGGCTCCATTTTTGGCCACCCAGCACAAACCAGAAAGAAGTAAAAATAAAGGCATGAGGTGTGCTAAAGCCCCACTTGAGGACAAAGCAGGAACCTCTGTCATGGAAAAGCTGTGAGTATCCTCTAAGTCTCATTGGATTTCATTTTTTACATAATGCAGAAAAACATTTTTTCCCTTTGTTTTCTTTTTAAGATGAGCATTTCAGTTGTTGAGCATTATCCCATTGGAAACTTCATGCTTTTAAGATACTGTTTTCTGTTTGTCAGGATCTGCACTGTGCACTGTGGGCCTCACCCAGCAAGCTACAAATCCTTTTTCTTCCCATCTTTCCCTGATCCAGGTCCTTCAAATGGGGTGAAGCTGATTCCCTTCCCTACGCAGTCTACGGCCACGCAGTGGTATCACACAAGGACCTTGTCTATGTCATTGGAGGCAAAGGAAGTGACAAGTAGGTCAAAAATCAAGAGAACCCTGGAAATCATCCCAATAGAGTGAGCAAAACTTGCTGTAACCCAGCAAAGAAGTCCTGGTCTGGAGGAGTATGACATGCATTCACTTACCTTACACTGCTGTGTTGGGCAACTTTTGTGAGGGTGTTTTGCAGTGTTAGGTTGAGTCAACAGTACTGAAACAGCATCTGAAGGCTGCACACAAGGTCCTGCGAGGCAGTTATGGACTCTTTATCCAGGTGTGCACACACAGCACTGAGCTTTTCAGATTCCTTATCCAAAGCAGTCACATCAGGAACGGATGTGTTGCACACAGAAATGGCATCCCTGGGCATGGGCAAACGTGTGTCAAGCTTGCCTATCCGAGCAAATGCCCCAAGGCCAACACAGAGGGAACTGAAATCCCTTCTAAAGAGCCATGTTCTTCACAACTGGCATCCCCAAACTCCTGCAGAGCAAGGCTGACAATTTATGCTCCCCTTCTCTCTCCTCTTTCTCTAGGAAGTGCCTGAAGAAGATGTGTGTCTACAACCCCAATAAGTTCGAGTGGAAGGAGCTGGCTCCCATGAAAACTGCTCGTTCCTTGTTTGGAGCCACTGTGCACAAAGACAAAATCTACGTGGCAGCTGGTGTGACCGACTCTGGATTGACCAACTCAGTGGAAGTGTACGACATTGCCACCAACAAGTACGTACTGAGCACCTCTGGGCTGTAGTTACACCAGCACCAGCTGTAGGTGTACATTAAGAGCTTCCAACCATTCTTGCAGCTCCTCACATCAGTTCCTCCCTTGGGCATCAATGAGGCCTCACTGAGTAGGACATTATGTAGCACGTTGCTTCTGTCATTAGTATCATTTTATTGAGGATCACAGAATCACCATGGCTGGAAAAGACCCTTAAGATCATCCAGTCCAACCATCTCAGGATCATTCCAGGCTCCGATTAAAAGTGGGTCATCAATGAGTTGAGCTGTTGGGTGCTTTGTGAGGCTGTTGATTCATCTTATCATCTTCACCCAGTGCAAGAAACGTGTTCCCTGAGTTTGGGCTCTGGGGTCCAGTCCAGCAATGGGACCTGCTGGTCCATGCTAGGTGTACGTTGCAGCTCATTTACTCACAGAAGATGAAGCAGAGCTATGATGATGAAAGCAGATATTTCTAGCACCATTAAATGAATGATCCCATCCCAAACAACATCCCAGGTACACAAATGAGCCTGCCGTGAATTGATTCAGCCACTGATTCCCAGGGTGCTGCTGAGACCCAAGGGTGGGCAGGGGGCCCTAACATGTCCTTCTCTCCACATGGCAGGTGGGAGACCTTCCCTGAGTTCCCTCAGGAGCGCAGCTCGGTCAGCCTGGTGAGCCTGTCTGGGGTGCTCTACCTGCTTGGAGGATTTGCCACGGTGGAGACGGAGTCCGGGGAGCTGGTGCCAACAGAGCTGAACGACGTCTGGAGGTGATGACCTTCCCCAGGGCTCTCCATGGGAGATGGGGGATGATACTCAGTAGCAGACACCAGGGAAACAGATAGTTTTGGTCTTTATGCCTTCAGTCTGAGAGAAATGCTGCTACCCCAACACGAGGCTGCATGAAGTCTCTGGGAGAGATGTGTGCCCTGTACTGTGCTGAAAGGCACGGTAGGTGGTTCAGTGGTTTCTCCCAGCCTCGTATATAGGGAAATAGCAGGGAAAATCTCCTCCCAAATTGCCATTTTGTTTGGAGATGGTTCCAGACCCCCCCCTTTGGCTCAAAGCAGTGTTTGTGCAACGAACGCTCTCTTTGAGAAAAGCCAGTGCTTGGGCTGGAAAGCAGATTGTCTTACATGGGAGCAGAGACAGAAAGCACTTTCTGACAGCTGCTCGTGCAGGGCTAGCTCCCATCCCTCGGGTCTGTGGCTGTAGAGCACCCTCAGCAGGCATTTCCTGGCCTTCACCACGGATGTTCCATCTTGGTGGTACCAACCCACCCGCCAGGGTTCCAGCAGTTGCTATTGGCATGTCGTAGCACGGTGCTGTGAAGGTGGGGGGGCTCAAAAGGTGGAGAGAGGGGATGCTTTCCTCGCCACAGCTGTCTGTCTGTCTCTCCTCAGATACGATGAAGAGCAGAAGAAGTGGGAAGGGGTCCTCCGTGAGATCCAATATGCCTCTGGTGCCACTTTCCTTCCCGTGCGCCTCAATGTTTTGCGGCTAACGAAGATGTAGCATCATTTCCTTGCTTCAGTGGGCAGGGAGGGATGGGGAGTGGCAGGAGATGTAGTTTCTCTAGATACTGTGCAGGACATTGTGTCTGTGATTGGTACCATTTCACTGAGTCAAATGGGAGAGGGGGAAAATTGACTTGAAGCATTATGGCAACTTGCTGATGCTCAGAAGGTAACTAAAAAAGGATTTTGCTGGGGAAGACAAACAAACATGGAGCAATGCGCTAATCCAGCCTCAACTGGCAGAACAAAGAGATTCCTCTCTTGTTCCACTTCTTTCTCCATGTTTTTTCCAATCTTCTCCAGCCATCAGTGGAGCTACAAGGGGGTTCTGAAGGCATTAAGTTTCTCCAGACAAAAGGGTCTCTGATACGTTTCCTCACCTCAGGCAGCCGCAGGTTTTGTGCTACAAAGCACTTCAGAGGGGAAAGGGAGGTAGTGCAGGTCAGATCTGGGGGACTCTGAGGAGTTCCCACGTGGTGGAGGTCATAGAGATGAGAAGGCTGTAAGAAAAAAGGCTCGTGAGCACTGGCAGCAGAAATTCCTTCAACATTACAATGAACAGGAAAAAAAATTAGTTCTTCACCTCCATCCTGACTTTGCATTGAAGAGATGCAAGGAGGTAAGGGCTGCAAGAGGGGCTACGGGTATGACACTCATCTCCATCCCTTAGGGCTCCTTGCAGTCAATCACAGACTACAACATCCTCATGTATAGAGAGACAAGTGCTTTTCTTTAGGGAAAGGTTTTATATTTATGCTTTCATTTTTATCGTTACAAACTTTTTTTTTTTTTAAAGCACTATTCTAATTTGCAGAATTCTTGGAGATCTCAGCAGTGTTTGGCTCAAATAGAGCTTCCTGCTGAGACAAAATGCATTGTGTTCTGTTTTGTTTTGTTTTTTAAGTGATCATGATGATGTTTTCTTAGAAACACGGCTGTACCAGCAGCAGGACAGAGATGTGTTAGACCAAAAATCTAACCATGTCCATGCTGAGTGACCTGCAGTTCATTTCAGAATAAATCTTGACAATATTTCCCCCCAAATTTCCTTTCTCTGAATGTTGATGGAGCTGTAAATGGATGTGCACAGCAACCAAATGCAAGGACTGAGAAAAAGCTGTGATGAGAAGCCTGGAGAAATCCAGCCCCACGGGGAGCCCCAGATTTTCCCCCATTTCAGAGCAGAAGCTTTAGTGCTCGTGTCCTCAAAGCTTTTCTCAGTAGACAGAAGAACTAGAAACTTATCTAGGAAGAGAAATACCAGCTGGATGCCTACAGCATCACGTGGTGCAGCAAACAGGGGTGATCGTAACGAAAAAGAACAAATGCGGATCTTGTAAACGAATGCCCTCAAAGCAGCACAAACTTTATGCTATCAGAAGCTTGGCTGATTCGTCCAGCTCAACACGCAGCCTTGAGAAACTGAAACCAGTTTGGAAGTAAAGACGTTTTTCCACGAGTAAAGGAGCCAGAGATTTGTCCTGCCTTCACCGTAAGGATTTTCTAAGAATTACAGGATAATCTCCTTAGAAGACGATTATGTCAGAAGAGCAATGAAACGTTTTCACGAGAAAAATAAATCTGAAGGGACTGGCTGGCAGCTGATAGCATTAAAAAGGAAAAAAAAAATTAAAAATAAAAAAAATAAGCAACCAAAATGTTCGAAACAACCAAACATGAAGAAAAAATCTGTGGCCAAACAAACCAATAAATGAATAAATAAACGGCCACCCTCCCTCCAGTTCTGGAGAAATTCCCATGGAAGGCTCCCAGGCCATTATAATGGCTTGTGTCAGAAGTGGAAAGAGCCTGGAATTCAAAAATGAAGTCATGTGTTGCAGGGGTGGGACAACACCTCCTGCCTGGGGCTGGAAACCAGTAGCTCAGCAGTTCTTGCTGGTTGCAGAATGGAAACCTGTTGTTGCTTGGTCCTGAGGGAGGGTTCCTCCCCATGGTTCCTCTCCTCACGGCTCAGCTGCTCCTGGGGGAAACGTGGGCCCTTTGAAGGCAATGGCGTGGCCTTTTGAAGTCATTGGGAGCACTGCTGCACTGTGTAATTAGTGGTGTGGTCCCTTGATAATGGCTTGAGAAGCAGTGATTAAGCCCAGTCAGCATCCTGGTCCGCATCCTCAGCTGCTCACCTTGCGCCTGTCTGCTGGGAGTTTGGTTAATAGGAGCTGAGAACTCCCATGTTGTTCACATCCATCACAAACTTTAGGAGGTACCACCTTCAGCACAGAGCAAGAGAAGATAAAGCAGCAGTTTGAAATCTCCCATCATGTAGGCAAAAAGGGCCAACGCCAGCCAGAGCTCGTCCAAGGAAGCCAGCACATGGCCAAGCAAAAGTCTGGCCCAGAGACTGTCCAGCACCTCTCACCAAGAGGCTGTTACAGCCCAAAGACAACCTTCAGCAGACGAATCATCCAGCCTTCAGGGAGCCACCACTCCTTGCTGTTGCCCAGCATCTTCCTTGCTAAGATGCACACAACTCCATCAGGACACGTCCCCTATGGAAATCTCCTCCAGCAATGCTAGCTGAAAGGTTACATCCCAAAGGTGCAGCAGAATCAGCTCTTCTTCCATTGGCTTCCCAGTATCGGCGCCGGCCAGGTTCCCACAACTCCATTTCAAATCAATAAAGATGCTGGATGCTTTTGGATGGGCTCTTTGGTTTCTCATTTCCCTTCAGAGGTGCTTGGGGAGCCTTGTCTCATAGTTGACTCAAATTTTGTGCCCTCAATGTGACCCTAGAGCTCAGTCCTCACCTCCTCTAGCACCTCAGGGCCATAAGCATCCAGCCTTTCCTCTACCCCCTCATCACCCTTCCCTGAAAAGGTATTTTTCTATTGGTCCCACAACAGCCTGGCTGTCTCACACAGACACACACCTCCCACCAAACCCAACACAAAGTCCACGTATGTGATGCAAGAGCAGCTGTGAGAGCATGCCACAATAACAAAGAAAGGGGTAGAGCTCCATGTTTTCTTTTATAAAAGACAAATTGTTTATTGATTCAGTCCTTCCACTTGCAACCTCTTTGGTAACAGTCGTAACACTTCTAGACCGGGAGAACGCAGTGGAAAGGCCCAGTTCTGTCCTCTCACCGCTTTCAGGAAGCCCTGAACGTGCCTTGGTGAGAGGCCAAAAGCAGGTTTCAAAGCACGGCCAAGGACCTGGCCTCTATGGACACCCCAGAACAGCCCACCACGGCTCATCGTGCTCACGGGCAGCCCAGAGAGCAGCTCCAGCACCTGTGGGCTGATGACAGCTTAGGATGGCGATGCATGCTGGGGTCGTGGTGCCAAGGCTGGCTGTGAGCTGTGCTTGGAAGGCAGCGTTGATGAACCTCTTGGGAGTTCCCGGGCATCAGCCAATGGAGCCAACAACAAGGCAAAACTCAACCCTGGTGGCCTCACAATGAACCAGCAGGGTTGGCCTCCCCCTCATCACACCATCCCAAAGAGAGTAACTGCTGTACTTGGCGTTAGAGATAAACATATATTGATTACACATGGTCATAAAAAAAAAGTAATAATAATAATAATAATAATAATAATACATTTCCTAGAACGTTACTTAAGACGCTTCTGAAACGCATCCAAGCTTCCCCTCCCCTCCCTGTCTTCCCTTATCTATACAGAATAAAGTGCTTCGTTTAGTTTGTTCACACTAGCAGAGCCACCAATACACTCTTAAGTTGGCATGTTTGGGCAACTGATACTGAATGTCATAAAATAATGCAGAGCCAAACACCAGGCATGAGAAACTAGTTCTGAGGCAAGTGCTTGGGGTTTCATTCGTTTCCTTCAAGTTCCATGCGACTGAGGTTGTTCTTATTCCTGTTTTTTTTTTTTTCCTGTTCTTTGAAAAAGTTCTTTCTTTGTAAGTTCAACCCAACTCCATTGTGGTTGTGTCTCATCAGGCAGGGCTGCGTTTGGGGAAGCTCTCTCTGTCCGTGTGAACCAAGGGCATCTGTCCATCTGTCCTTCCCTCTTGACTTCAGGCAAACCAAGAGTTGAATCAGTGGAGTTGTCTAGCAGCGGATGCTCGTCTCTATTGCACTGTCACAGCCGTTCCCACCATCTGTCAGTCCATCACCTTCCCATCGCGCTTGGGTTATGGCTGTGGTCCGAAGGGCCAGCCGCACCTCATGGACTTTATGAGGCTAACTGGTCTGTGCTACCAGGCTCCTGGGATACATAAAACAAAAACAACCCTCCCTGCCCAGCTCCATCCCTCCCCAGAGTTCAACCAAAGGGAAAATCAAAACCAAACGCCGACAGGTCTGGGGTGCGGGCAGAGCCGTCGGCCGAACGTCGCATTGGGGTGTATTTGTGAGCTGCATAATGGGAATCAAGCCCCTCTCCACCCTTGCAGTCTGTCGAAGAAGGGATGTGAGAGGTTAAGGTGCAAGAGTTAAAAATAAAAAAATAAAATAAAATATAAAAAGCTTGAACACAACGGGCCCGACTCTCCTGTCTCATCCCCCATCTAACCTAAAGGGTGCCAACATGGTCCAACCGGGGTGAAAGCGGGACAAGACTCTGTGAGAGCGACTCATTTGAGAACGTTAACGAACACCAGACACGACAGGACACATCAGGGCCAAACAAGTGTGCAGACAAAAGGGCTCGGAGGCCACGCTGGACTCCTAGGAGCTGCCCAGGCCTTGAAGCGGGGAGGGAACAGCAGGGATCTGGTTCTCCAAAGTGCTGTGTGCATGGTCACATCTCAATGTCTCCAAGTGGCTCTCCGGGCGTCTCTTGAAGGGGACTGGAGGTGGTTGAGCTCAGTCGTGAGGCTTCCCATGGATGTGGCGAGGCCTGGCTGCTGTAGGATGAGGGATGGCAAGCGCTCTGCACCTGCTCATCTCACCCGGACCAAACTTGGCTTTGTTAGTTCCAACAAAGAGCTCTCATCCCATGTCAGCATCCAAGTGGGACAGGTCCTTGCTGGGAGAGGATGAGGACAGGGATGGGGAAAGCCACCTCCACGTGAGCGGATAAAGGAGCACGGGTGTGTTGGAGGGAGGATTTATCTGGGGAGAAGTCTACCAGGAAGACAGGCCAATTGGGTTCATCACAAGAGACCACACAGGCAAGGTGAAGTCTCCCCGTGGTGCAGGCTCCCATCCCATCGCAAGGCCGAGTGCAAGGGGAAAGAAACACGAGGGAGCCCAAAGGGATAAGGTCTGGGAGGCAGTGGAGGAAGAGACAGCACAGATTGCTCTACCGAGGCCCTCCAGTACCTCCGGGGGTATTACTGATAGCTCCTCCAAAGCAGCCACCTCCCAGGCTGGGTCATGGTCCCTTCAAAAAGTCAACGGCCCCAAGAACTGAGCACTTGTCCCTCACAGGTGGGTGTTTGAGAAAGCTTTGCACCATGCCAGGGTCATGAAGGACGGAAAGTGGCCAAGTTCTTCATACCCATCTGAGAAGGTTACGTACGTTGAGGCAGCTAAGCCATCGCATCCTCCCACGGCTCAAAGGCAGAGGGGAGTGAGGGTGAGGCCCTGCTACTGATCCTGGTACACTGGACCCCAGCCTGTACAGTGACAAGCAAACCGTTGCTACAAAGTGCTAACAACCCATGAGAACAGCAAGCTCTCCAGGGATGTCAGGCATGGGGACACCACTCAGTCATCCAGCAGGGGACACTGGTCACCCAAGCTGTTAGCTCAAACATTATTCTTTCAGAGCAGCCAGCATTCCTCAGACCTGTCTCAATGCACATCCCTGTCCAGCAACGCCCCTGAGCATGATGATGAGTTCTCCTGGCTCTGCACAGACACATTCCTAAGCCCAGTTCAGGAGATGTGCACAAGGGCTTTGCTCATTTGGTCCAGGAGACGAAGCACCAAGACTCCTTGCAGGGCCAGGTGTGATTCACCTTCCCCAGCACCCTGATACCTCCCAGACAGGAGCACACAAGAAAGGGCTCCTGCAGCCCACCCAATGTCCTCTCTCACTCCTGACCACCAAGAAACCTCCTCACCGCCTCCTCTGCAACCTGACTGATATCCACATACATCTGCAGAGCTGCCCTGAGCAGCAAGGAATCCCCTACCACCCGGGCTGGCACCTCTCTGCCCATGCTGGAGGCTCTGCAGCTCCTGCAGTGCTCCCCAAACGAACCCACAAAAGTGACACTGTACCAGAGACCACAGAATCATGGTCAGAGCAACATGTGACATCCCAAGGCAAAGTGCAGCAGCAGGAGACCCAGATTGGACCCCAGCATTCACCAAGAAGACAACAGCAAAGCCTTAATAGAATTTCAGCTCCTCCCTTACTCAAGACCACAATTCTTCTCTGCTGGCATGAGTAAGCGAAATCAAAGGCCGGCCTCACTTCAGCATCATACAGACTGCTGGGAGAGAAACACACAAACACAGCGTGGCCAAAGACGTATTAACCCACACCATGGGGCGCCACCAAGCCAACCACAGCCCTCTCTGGCACATCAGTCCCTTCTGATCCCTGTGAGGGACTGCCGACCCTATGGGGAGGCGAAGCTTGGTAGAGCAAAGTGGGCTTTCCTGACATGGCAAGAAAAAGGCCTTGCCTCCACTCTAATGCCTGGGTTGAGACACAGCAGCTCCCAGCCAACACATGGAGCTCACCCACAGGTCGGGTTTATTTGGATTGTTAAGGCACTATTCTGGGCTGATTCTGCCAAGGACTGGTTGCATCTCACTCCTATATCCTGGTGTCATCCCACTGGTCCTGAGGCCATCCCAGCTCTCCCGAAGCCACTCTGCAAACACCAGAGTTTCTCCAGAAACCCATCTCTCAATGGCATGAGAAGGGCATCCCAAAGACAAAAGGGCAGCAGGCTGCCCATGCCCCCAAAACACAGCACCAGTGTTGTGCTTTTGTCTGTTGAGAGAAAAATCTGCGCTGGGGGAGGAAGACAAGGAGAGGGCTGCTAGCAAGGCCAGATGATGGCTGTCAATGGGGACACCTGCTTTGCTGCATGCCACCGGGAAGCTAGCACACCTCAACTCTTGGGGAAAGAGCTTGATTGAAAGACCAGCTTTACAGTACAGGGATTCAAGCACCACTAGCTAGATTTCTGCTTATAAACACTGCAGTGCTGGCAGCCCGATGGCACAGCATGGCGTCCCTCTGAGCCCCACCGACCTCTTGACGTGGAGATGAATGCAATGCATAGTGACAGGGCAACCAGGAAGGGCTGGAATAAGCAACTCAGCTGGGGATGGAGCCAGTGGTGCCTGCATCACCTTGCTGGGTCAAATCACTGTCTCTCCCAGTGGAAAAATGCCTTGGGAGACGCTTTTCTTCCCAGTTTTCCCTATGATGGGGAGTGCTGGTGGAGGGCTGCCAGGGGGCTCCATGGCCAAGATGAAATAGAGAGCGATGTCTTTTATCTGCACCCTTACGTACAGTCCCCCCCTCCGCATCTAAGCTCCTTGGGAACTTCTTCCTGCTCCCACTCCCCACAGAGAAAGGCTTTGTGGGGGAAAACAAAAAAAAAAGAAAAGAAAAGAAAAAAGAAAGAAAAATAAACACCAAAACAACCCCAGAACGAGGAGGAGGAGGAGGAGGAATGGGGCAGAGAGCAAGCGAAGCCACGTCTCCCCGGGTGTTTCCAAAGGGCAGAGCAGTCTGTGCAGGGGGAGGGCACCTAGTTGTTGTT